TTAACATAACTAAAAACTAAAATTATTATAAAAAAAATTATCCTACAAGTAAAATTGCATTGAGATAATTATTAGATGAAAATATTTTATTATACTTTGTACTAAAGTTTGTTGAATATTGCAACAAAAAAAGTAAAAAATGCAGTAAAAAAGAATACTCTTATGCTAAGACTTTCCCTATTTTTTAAGTATAAATATGCAAATATATGCATTTAAACAGTTTATATATGCAAATATATGCACTTAACATTTAAAAAATGCCTACTTATATATATATATATATATATATATATATATATATATATATATATATATATATATATATATATATATATATATATATATATATATATATATATATATATATATATATATATATATATATATATATATTAGTAAAAAGTCATAACAGTTGAAACAAATTTTTATATTGAAAAAAAGTTGAAGCAATCACTAGAAAAGTATCATAAATATAAAACATATTTATCTGAAGTTTAAAAAAAATTATTAAAATCCTACAGTCAGATTTTAAGAAAATTGATTTCAAATAAATAAACAAATCTATGAGTTACACTAAAAAGTTGTTAATTGAAAATAAAGTTTAAGTACTCTAAGATATTTTTTATCCTTTATATATATATATATTTTTTTTTTGTGTGTGAAAATTTTGTAATAATATACTGATTTACATAAAAATAAGGCTACAACATTGAGTTTTTAGAAAAACACAATTTATTTATTTCTTAAAATTCAGGTCTTCACGATAAGTGAAAGGTGCTCAAATAAGCCTCTGAATCTGAAAACATTTTTGTTGATATAATTCGGACATTAACGCAGTGAAATAAGAAAAGGTGTAATAAAAAGTTCGTGCCCTAAATTCTTATTAAAGAGATTTTTTAAACGCAATTGCTCAAATTCATTCTAAAAATTCATAAAATATTTTACAGTTGCTTCTACGTGTGTTTTAAATTTGATAGAGGTAAAGAGTTTTAAGCGGATAGGTGAACTTAGTTTAAAAGTGGCGTTAACAATAGTATTGCGTAATAATACGTATTGCCTAATTAATATGCCTTTTGAAGAGTTTATTTTAAAGATTTTTTTGTTTTGCCTAATAATATATATCGAACTCTCCTGATAATTTTAAATTTATTTATATATATATAATAAATTTAAAATTAAAAATGATTCAAATGCTATAAACGCAACTATACATTGCAATTTTAAATATATATATATAATTAAATTTATTATATATATATTTAAAATTTTAATGTATAGTTGCGTTTATAGTATTTGAATCATTTTTAGTTTTTTAGATCGTTTCTATAAATTGCTGTCTTTTTTAATAAATAAAAACTCAATAATAGTTTCTTTAATCAGTTGCGCATTTGATATTTATGCTTCATGGTTTTGTAAGTTGATGGGTAAAATTCAAGAATAGCTATTTAGGCACGGAGAAGAATATGAAACAAAGCTTCAAACACCTTTAAAAAAATGCAACGTAGCAATTTATAATGCATCCTTAAGTAAACGATGTCATATGCCCCAGCACGTCATTGGATTCTTTAAGTTTCTTAAATTCAGTGCTACAGAGGCTGAATTAGTGCACTTGTGTAATTGCTGATGATTTTAAAGACCTATGGATCAAATATTGAATACTCAGCACTTGTCTTATCAAGCCATTTATAGCAATATAAATAACCAAAACTTTTGAAAAATTCATCTTAAACATCAATTCATTAGGCTCAACAAAAATCCAAAAAAATTAAGCCATAAAATAGTTCCTTAGGTGAAAACGCACTTAAAGAGCACGCTAAATCTGGACGAAAGGAGCATGCAATTTGACAGTAAACACGTTAAAGGCTTTTAATATCTGGCAGTGGTCCTCAAAAATGAAAAGAAATTCAATCGAATACGCGAATACTTAAAGATGAGAAAGTCCAAATACTTAAAGGGGAGAAAGTCCTTGTGAAAGGGTTTAAAGATGTGTTAGAAGAGTTCAACCTGTTAAAATCAGTTTTGATGATTGTTAGCGACACAACATCCATATGAATACTGGCAAAAAGATAAAAGTTGTTGTTTGGCTGCACCGAATATTTAAAAAAGAAGTTACCTCAACGTATGTTTATTAGTTTATTAGCAGCACTATGTGCTGAGTTACGTTTTTCACCTTTTCATGGGTAATGGCCAAATGTTTCAGTCATATCTCTAAATATTGAACACTACTTTGTGCAGTATTTAAACAGCAAGTGTGATAATTTAAAAGCAGCCTTCAACAACAGTATATCTAATATTAAGAAACACGCGGTAGGAAAAAAGACATTTTCAATTTCACGGCCATTTTTCTACAACCTCAATTGTGTCTTCCGCTACTAAACTAAAAATAATGAGATTTTCTTTGTTTTAACAGATTTAAAACTTCAGTTATGAACGCTTAAACTTTTGTACCACTTGAGCCAATGTTGCGTTCATTATGATGCCTGAACAGACCCTTATATTTTTGTATAAACGTTACTTAATACGTTAAGTCTTATTCGCTTACAATGTACATTTTTAACCTGCTGATAAAGTTCTCAAAAAATATTTAAACTTATTTTTTCCATGATATTTTTATATTAGATTGCAGTAAGGTCTTATACGATCTTTAGTGAAATCTCACTTATACGATCTTTAGTGAAATCTCACTTAACTATGATACAGGGAAACTAGATTGTGCAAAATTAATTAACCTAATCTTTAATTAGGCTAACTTTTAAAAATATATGATGCTTTTTTTAAATTTATATGTAACACATATTCAGAGCCGTGGCTAGGCACCCCAAACACCCCCCCCCCAATTGGGGGGGACAGTATTTTTAGGGGCCCTTTTTAAAAGTTAAAATATCTTTTAACTTTAAAAGGTTTAAGTGAAGTAAAAAAATTTGCATTTTAACCATTATATTAACTAAGTTATGCATGCTAAAAAGTAAAAAAAGCAAAAGTCATTTTTACGCAAAAACAATTTACACTCCCGAGTTCTTTTGTTTTGTTAGAAGTTTTTTGAGAAACCACTATAGCGGTTTGTCTGATGTTATTTAGCGGTTTGTTTGATGTTAATGAGAAACCATTAAACAGCGTTTCGTGGGGAAATATTTTAAAGTATGTCGCTTATTTTATGATTACAAGCGAATTTATTATTTTTAATTAGGTTATTTATTGATTAACTATAATTTGTTGGTAATTCAACTGTTTACCAATACACCACGGTAAAGTTTATTTTATTACTATTATTTCTATTACTTATGTTTTATGCCTAGCAAAAAATATAATTATCTTTCATTCATAGTTTTTTACAATATTTTGGAATTATTGGAATGAAAAAAGTGAAAAGTGGTGCCACTAAAATAAGAGAAAAAGCTGCAGCCATGGAGAAAATCATGAAATACCCCAAGCTAACACATTTTTTAAAACCAGCAGTTCCGGCTAGCAGTGTTTTGATATCAACAAATAATTTTGATTGTGATTATTTGGGTACTAGACTAGAGTCAGATGGGTTAATCTATGACTCAAATGCAAAGTCAAATGTAAGTCATGGTTTAATCTGTGAATCAAATGCCACAACAAATCCACTAATATTTCTCAGTGATGATCCTTTTGATTGGCCTGATAATGTTTCTGACGCTCAGAAGTGTGGTGTTGTTAAACGAGGTTCCAAAAAATTCAGAAAGAAGACGATTTTCCATGAGTTATTATAACCGCAAAATGAAAAACGGAGAAATCTTTGAAAGATCATGGCTTATATATTCTTTAAATAGTGATAAAGTGTTTTGTTTCTGTTGCAAACTTTTTGGGATAACTTCTTCACCATTTCAAAAAGGAATAAACACGTGGGAAGGCTTATCAAAAAAACTTAAAGAACACGAAACATGCAGTGCACATTTAAAATGCTTTGAACATTGGATGACATTACGAAAAGGTAACTGATATTTCATTTAACTTGTTTTGTTACTTTTTTTATTACTAAAATATTAATTTTTTTTCAATTTTGACAATGCAGGCATAGCAAATCAAGCTATCATAGACGAGCAGTAACAAAAGTTGCTTCATAAAGAGCGGATATTTTGGAGATCTGTGTTGGAAAGGATACTGGACATTACGTTATTTCTATCAGCAAAAAATCTTGCATTCCGTGGTTCAGACACAGCAATTGATTCAAAGAGCAATGGAAATTTTCTTGGGGTGTTTGAATTACTGGCTAAGTACGATGCCGTCCTCAAGGAGCTTCTGTTGAGAATTCAGGACAAAAAAACAAACGCTCACTATTTGAGCAATGACACACAGAACGAGTTGATTAGATGTTTAGCGCAGGAGATTGAATCAGAAAACCTTTCTATGGTAAAAAAAGCAAAATACTATTCGGTTATTTTAGATTGCACGCCAGACGTTTCGCACAAAGAACAAATGAGCATAATTTTAAGATCAGTGACATGTACTTCTAGAGTAGGTATTAACATTTCCGAAAATTTCTTTGGATATCTCACAGTAAATGATACCACTGGAAAAGGGCTTTTGGATGTCTTTTTAAATCAGGCAAAAAAATGGGATCTAAATATTCTTGATTGTCGAGGCCAATCATAAAATAAGTGTTAAACCACTTCGCTATTATCTGAAAGAAATTTTAGAGGCACTCGACAGATAGGAAAAACATGCCTTTGAAAAGAAAGATGGGGCAACAGCCACAGAAGTACGATCTCTGATTGAATATATTAGGACATGGCCTTTCTTATTATCAATCATTATTTGGTATGACGTTTTATTTCAAATCAACAAATCAAGTAAGCTTCTTCAGTCTTCTACAACCTCTCTTGACATTTTGGCTAGTGAAATAAAAGCAACAAATACATTTCTTTATGAGTATCGTGAGACTGTATTTACTGACGCACATATTAAAGCACAAGAAATTGCAGAAGAATTGGGCATTGAAAAGGTTTTTCCAACAGTGCGCTTACAAAAAAAAAAAAATGTATTCATACGAGTGTGCTGATGAAACTCGGCAACCTGAGCATCAGTATAAAGCAGATTTCCTTTTGCCACTCATTGACATGTCAATTGCATCAGTAAAGGAGCGTTTTGAACAGGTCAGTATCTTCACAAATCTTTTTGACTTTCTTTACCGGTCTGAGAGTCTTATCAAAGCCTGTAATGAAAATTGTCTTACTGTATTTTGCACAAATTTGCAAACGAAGCTCGGTGATATAGATTCTGAGGATTTGGAAATGGAGTTGAAACGATTTGCCATAGTTGTACAAGAGGACAAAAATACAAACCTGAAATCTGCATATGACTTTCTTAACTACGTCTACAAAGAAGAGCTGCAGGAAACTTATCCTAATCTAGTTATTGCGTTACGCATCATTCTTACTTCTCCAGTAACTGTTGCAAGTGCAGAACGTAGCTTTAGCAAGTTAAAATTAATTAAAACTTTTCATAGGTCAGTATAAATACTCTTACTTCCTTATACGTAAACACATATAACTATATTTTTTTGTATCTTTATGTAGGTCAACAATGGTCGATGAACGTTTGTCTTCCCTAGCAATGCTGTCAATCGAGAACGAGGTGGCAAGGAAATTAAGTTATGAAGGCCTAATAAATAAGTTTGCAAGTATGAAAACACTACGCAAACCTTTTTTTTGACCTGTGAATGCCTAATACATTCACAGTAGTCAAAGAAACTTTTTGTTTTAAACTCTTAATAAATATAACAATTATAAAATATACTTAATTAAATTAAAGGGTTAATTTTATTGTTTTTTTTCTCGTGAACGACTGCTTAAAAATATGTTCGGTGCATTATAAAAGATACGCCTTGCGCTTTTTGAAAAAAAAAAGTGTCAATTTAAACGCATTTAAAATAACTTTGGGGCCCTAATGGAATGTTTGGGGGAGCCCTAAAGCCACTAGCCACGGCACTGCACATATTTACAATTTTAAAAAAATATTTAACCCAATTTTTACAAAGAAATCCATATAGTTACTTTTTTAAAAAAGGGTTTGAATAATTTCTGTGATTAAATTAAAAAGTGAATTTATTTAGCAGTTAACTAAATTAATGGAATCTATGTATTTTATGAGATTGCAAATGCTAAAAAAAATGAAATTTTTCAGCTTTAATAACTATTTGATGCTAGTTTTCATGCCTTACAAACGTAGCGTAGTGAATTTAGTTACAATATTTGATAGGAGACTTATCTGTGCTCTTAGAAGAGATATAGTTTCTGGTGTTAACATGCTGAACCTTGCATAGATTATGTTGTACAGAAATTCTATAGTCATGTACTGATAATAAGTTTTTACATTAAAACTGTTAATTAGTGTTAAATTGTTCTTTTAGATGTTTAGATGTTTTTAGCGTCCCACCTAGAGTTCTTAATTAATTATTGTAATTTTGTTAACTTTTACTACTTTTATAATTAAAGGTGGTTTTGTTATATCAAAGTGGTACTGCATGGCTTTAGAAAAAACTTGTAAAAGTAATTATCTGTCGATGGAAGTTGAACTTTTATCTACAGATAATTTGGATATTTTAGCAAAAATTAAGATAAGTTTAAATTAATCTTAATTTTTGAATAGATTGTTTAAAGCAAATTAGTATATTCTTAAGTATTTTATCAACAGATTTTAAAATGACAGTTCTTGCTTCAGAGATAAAGTGTAATTTTTTTTCAAAATGATTTCACAACAGTTTTACCTATGATAATAATAAGTTATTACACATAAGTGTTATAACTTATTATTTTCATTTTTAATTATTGATTTAAAAATTATAATATATAAAAATATTATAGAACATATGTTCAATAATATTTTCATATATTATGCTATATTAAATTAATAAATAATAATGAAACGTGCAAAACATATACTATTTAGGAAAATCTATTTAGAAATAATATTTTTAATATATTAAAAAATAACCTTCACCAAATAAAGTGTCTGATTGCAAAAAAAATAAAAAATAAAAACAAACATTGAAACACAGACTTGTTTGAACACAGACTTGTGTTCAAACTTGTTAAATTATGTCAACAAAATATTTAAGAATATAAATTCTGTCAAAACAAAAGCCAAATATTGAGAAGTCTTTAAACATTTTAGAAAACCAAAAACAAAATAGGTGTTAGCAAAAAATAATTGTACTTTTGTAGAATGTATTATCTTACTTCTTTTGTTTTTTAATGTTTGGACTAAACTGCTACTTTAAAATGGAATTATTAGTTTAAATTTATTTTAAAGCTTTTGATGTTAGTCCATCTATTGAAGTCTTAAGCATCAGAAATGGTAATTCAAGACCCTTATATAAAAACCTTCCTCGATGTGTCAAAAGTATTTTATTGAAACCTTGCAAATATGAATACATTTGTTAACAATAAAACCACGTTTCTAAAAAAAGTTGCACAATAACAAAGTTGAGGAAAATTTTACAGATTTAGTTTTGCACAATAGGAAAGTGATGTTAACTTGCTCGTAAATTTTGAAAAGTTTAATTTTAAAAAGGTAGGGTAAAGGAAGGTATGTTCGTGATATATGTAATTTCGTGATATTTCTTTCGGCATTTGTAGCGAACATACCTATTAGTCAAAAACATCGAAATTGTGTCAAATGGTACCCGGGGTACTACTGTCGATTCACAAATAGTCGTTGGGTGCGTGTGATACGTCAATTGTTTACTATCAGTTTGTACATTCTTTAGCATTATTTTACGTGCGTTCAGCACATTTGTTTGGAGTACTTGTCCAACATTTTTATTTCCAGACTTGTGTTTTACGGTAAGTAAATTATTTTTATTAAATATTAAACTAGAAAACATGCTTGATTTAATGGTAAAACTTTTGTTTTTTTATTAACTTCCTATAACTTATGATTCCTTATCGCAATTACACATTTTTTAACGTTTTCACCTCAAATGAATGTAAACGTTTTCACCTCAAATGTAGGTAAACGTTATGTTTATAAAAGAACTTATGCTGATCGTGGAGAAACGCATACACTTTTAGGATGTGTATGTGCCAATGGATCATGGATTCCACCTTTAATTATATTCAAAGGCGTTAGATGGAACGATAATCTTAAAGCTGATTGTTTACCAAACTGTATGGTAAAATTATCTCCAAAAGGATGGATTAATAGTGACTTATTTTTGGAATGGTTTAAATTTTTTATTGATTCTATTCCAAGTGAACGACCTGTGATATTATTCATGGATTCACATGCATCACACATTAACATGGATGTTATATTACTTGCAAAAGAAAATGAAATATATTTATTTACATTTCCAGCTCATACGAGTCATTTATTACAACCACTAGATGTAGGAATATACAAGCCACTTAAGTCAAACTGGGCCACTAGCTTAAATGACTTTATGAGGGAAAATCTTGGAGAAAAACCAAATCGGACAACTTTTCATACAATATTGAATCCAGCATTTATTAAAAGCTTTTCTAAAAAAAATATAGAAAATGCATTTAAAAAAAAAGGCATTTGCCCTTTAAATAAAAATGCCATTCCTCCAGAAGCAATAGCTCCATCTCAATTGACAAACAGAGAGATTCAAAGTACAGAAATTCAACCACACAGTAATACTGCTATACAAACATTGTTAACTATTCCATCTGTAGAGCCAACCACACCTAACCCTAATAGGCCAAAAAGGATTCAAGTGCAAAGTGTCTGACTCCTCCTGATCAACCTATTCCATCAACTTCAAGGATTCTATTCCTGTATGTTCTAAAAAAAGTAAAAAAAATAAAAATGCTTCAAAAGATGATGATTGGGAGTGCGGTGTTTGTAAAAAAAGTTACAACAGTGATGTAAAAAAAAAAAAAGGAAAAAAATGGTTGCAGTGTTCCTATTGTTTAGTACCTTATCATGATAGTTGTCAAACATATGATGACATTGGTGAAGTATTTATGTGTGATACATGTTGTCAACAAGAATGTGATTTAGAAAAATAAGTTAATCAGATATAAGTATGGTTAATATTATAGTTATTATATTAAGAGTTTTTTGTAGGTCTGTTATTTTATTTTCTAAGCTACCTATGTTAAAAGTATATTTTTTTTATATATAAATATAAAGTAATGAAAGTATTATTATAATTTTGTTAACTTATAAACCTGACTATATTTATATTTTATGAACTTAAAGTCTGATTGAATAGTTATGAATTCAAAACAAGATATTTTTTGTTATATTATACCAGATGTTATACTTAATTAATAAAGAAAAATTTAAATATTATTGTGCACTCACGAAATTACCTAACCACTATCACGAAATTAAATATCATATCACAAAATTACCTAACTTTTCTCAATGACTTTTGAGCTTTTATAAAAACTTATCAAAGGACTTAAAATCCCAAAACTGCATAGATTCTAGTAACTTTACTCTATGTACATCAAACAATTAAAGTAATTAAGTAAAATTACTGAAATTGACTTTGTAATTACACATCTAGTTAATTTATCACGAAAATACCTTCCTTTACCCTAAATTTTAAATTTTTATGAAACTCTGTATTCAACTAATCAATTAAAATACTATGATGATAACCGTTGAATACAATTTTAAATTTACCGGCCAGTAATTGTTCAAAATTAACCGGTAAAATTACCAGTAAATTTTCCGGTATATTTTACTATCGCATCAAATAAATTTATAAAGATTTTTCCGTAATAGACGTAAGCATCTAGCAAATTTTTATTGCAATACTTAAACACCCACCATACTACACTTCGTATGTACTTAAATTAACGAATAGGCTTAACGAGAAACAAAATGTTTATCCTTAAACAAATAGCAAAATCCTAAAATTTAATACTGATTTAATCTATCGCTATTGTTATGGATAATTGCGGAAAACTTAGTTATTAAACAGAATTCTTTTGTTCTTTTAAGTTGATCGTTATTTATCAACAAACTTACAAAACGGAAAAAGTTTAATCTGTTCAAAAATTGTGTTAAGGTTTGAACTAAAATCAAGATCCTATTATACAATATGCTCAAATTATGCATCAAAATCCTATTCTATACCTGTTAGTGGTTGTTGGAGTAAAATGCTTTGTGGAAACAAAAGGAGTAGGACACGATGGTATATGAATTAATAAAAATAATTATTTACTTTACGTTTAAATAAATCAAGTTTGATATTGTTTAATAAACTTTATTTTTTAATAAACGTAATAAAGTATTCTACTTTTAGTGAAATATTTAAAATGTGAAATATAGCAAACTAGTTGATTTATGAACTTTTAAAATTATTGCAAATTATACACATTTTTGATGCTTAATTTTATCTATTTAAAACCAATTAACTCTTCATTTCAATTTTTTGGTTATAAAATAAATGTATATTTGGGATTACAGTTGAAGATGTCTTAGCAATTAAAACAAATCAGTTATTTTTATAAGCAAAATTATTTTTAGTCAGAGGATTTTTCGTTTTTAAGATTTTTTATTGATGAGGACTATAAATATATGAGCTTTTGAAGGTCTAGTACAGATAATCTCTCGCAATTTTTTTGAAAATGTTATTGCACTTAAACAAGTATTTTCATGCTTTTAAATCATAATTATTGCTGTTAAAAAAATTCATTTGTTTTTTTTTACATTCTACTCTAAAAAATTTCTAACAATGCTTTATACATTTTGTTCGACTATTTATACATAAAACTCTGATAAATTTATAACATAATAATAAAATAAGGAGGGTGGAGGCAAATACGAATACAAAAAATATTTTTTGTACCAATTTTAGATTTTTAAGATCAATTATAGATTAAGTGTAGAATGGGTATTTTTTGCAACAAATTTCAGAAAAAAATTAGAGCAGCTGAGGCGCAGTGGTTAGCGCACTTGCCTCAGAAGCTAGAGATCCGTGGTTCAACGCCACCTCTGGGCAAGCTTTATAAATTCGCTAAGGAGGGACGTTTGAACTTCCTTTCAAATGTTTTTCTGCGGTGCTCTGTGATGAGACCGTAAGGACTTCTTGGTGTACCTAAAATAATATTAAAAAAATGATAATAATATTTTGTGATAGCATAAGAGATTTTTACTTTTAGTAAACATTACTAACTTTCACTAAATTCCATCTACTGACAATACCATCTGTACAACTATTTTATTATTTTTGCGTTAATAGAAAAAAATTTATAGAGACTACAATTAAAATTTATTTTAGTAAAATATTTGCTACTTTAATGACTGTGTTCACAAACAGAAGATCAATTTATCTAGGCATGAACGAGCATTTCTTTCAGCCAGTTTAGTGCGCGTGGATGTGCAGTGATCAAGAAATTATTCGGTTTTAACTTTCCAATTAGTATTGTTACTGAGATGTTAAAATGAGCTAAATTAGATAAATTAGTTCATTATTATATTTCAAAACAACTAATAACTTATAAAACTCTTTTATGGAGAGAGTTCATATTTATTTAAAGAAACGTTGGATCAATCAGTACAGTTATGCAGCAGAAATACTAAGTTTTAATATACAACTGAATAATCAGGACAAAAGTTTTGCTTTTCACACTTTGTATACAAATAAAATATACATGCTTGTACGTGTAATGTATTTGTGTGTAGAAGCTGTTATACCTTTTTCGTTTTATAAGCAAACAAAAATTGAGCAAAAATGTCAAATTATCAATCAAAGATAAATATCTTGCTTTTAAAGATTGGAAAAAGGTCAAACTAAAAAGAAAGTAGCCGAAAGCTTTAGTGTTCCTCAAAACACTTACTGGATTAAGTATTAAGAAAACATAATCATTAAAAGTCAGTCTTTTTCGAGCTAAGAGATAAAAGTTATGTTTTGAAAAGCATGATTACGTTAATAAATTTTTTTGATAAATTGTAAAGATTTATTTTTTTTATTTTAAACTTGTTTTTTAGAAGGTAAAGACTTAAAAGCATATTATTTCAAAGTTTTTCCTCTTTAACTCTATTTTTCTGTTAAAATTAGATTGTAACTTGAAATAGGTCACTTTAAAGAAGATTTTAAGTTATTCGAAGTAAATTCTAATTCCCCTAGGAGGTTCGAATAACCGGTTATTCGAACCTCCTAGGGGAAATTCGAGTTTACAGTTATTTAATTTCGGTGATGATTTTTTTGAGTGATAATTTTTATTTATTTTTTACTTTTTTTTTTTTTTGCTTTGTAAATATATACATTCCGTAAGTTACTAGCAAGATATATAGGTAGTAGAGGCGAGAAGAAGACAAATATGTCAATCTCTAAGTCCCTTGATAAGTTCCTTAAATATAAAGTTTAGTTTAAAAATAAGAAGTTCCGTTAACTATATAAAATATAGAAAGCTTGGCTTAAACATATTCGTCTAAAAACATTTAATTTTTATTTATTGAAAAATCATAAACTAATTTTTTTTTTCAATATCAAACTCCAGAACACTAAACAATAGTCAAAAAAAAAACTAATTATAGAATTTAAATAATTTATAACTTATAATTAATAAAGGCCGAAAATCCTCTGTCCGTAATAAGGAATTTGTTTCTTTAAAAAATATTTGATTTTAAAAATTGTTTCTGAGAAAATATTATGTTAAGTATAAAAACTAAATATTAGTTGTTTTTTTTAAAACATCTCTCCAAAAACAACTTGGATTTGAGTTTGATATAAAAAATGAACGGTGACTGTTTGAAGTTCATGTAGTATTAATGTCATCATTTATGTCAACTTGTAATATTTATAAAAATGTAAACTTAAACTTTAATATTTAAAAATATTGATAAAGAAAACTTGTTTAACGCAACACACACACACATTAAAACATTCTTTTTTCAGGTAAGAACTGAACATACAAAAATTGAAGATAAGAATTTACCTGAATATGACTAAACTCAACTAACAAAAAACCCTGGATCCTCGTTATATTTTTCAGATTCGGCATATTAAAAAGAACTATTATGCTGGACTTCTTGCTGTGTTTATTGTCATTTTAATTTGACTTTGCGCTTTTCTCTGGTCATGTTAGGTATTACCCAACATATGCACTTTTTTACTTTTTTTTACTCAAAATTTATCGAAAAGTTAAAAAAAAAAGTACAAATGATTAGAGAGCGAGTGATAAATAAAACTAGAAAGCTTAGTTAAAGGTTTGTAAGAGGTAACTTTACTGATTTGCTATATAAAATCTTTTATTAAAATAAAAAAAGCACGTTCGAAAAACATTAAACTAAGAATTTCACATCTCCTTCCTTACATGTGTTGCAAATATGGCTGAAGCTGGCATCGAACCGAAACACCACTGAGCTAGAGCCGCTCAAAGTTTTTATAATAATACATAGGTAATACAAGTTCAAAAATCAAATGCAGTATTGTTATACCAATTAACATTTTTTTCCAGGTCCAATAATTATAACTGACGAAATGAGACTTCATAATGATTTGTTTTTAAATCGAACGAGAACAGTTTTTCCCCTAGCAAGTGGTACGCTTAAAGTTAGCTTTGGCCTCTCCTTGGTTTCTGTTGTTGACATTGATATTGGAAATGAGATAGTTATAACAAACATAAATGTTCGACAAGTAATTAGTTTAATGTGTTACTTATTTTTGAGAACTTGATATGTGCCCAAAATATCCTAATTTTATCAGAATTATTTTTTTTTTTTGATGTACTGATTTTAAAATTGAGTTTTTGTTCGAAATCAAAACATTTTGAAAATGTAGCATTTTTAAAATTAGAAAAAGCTTTTAAAAAAAATGGATAATACTGATAACATCAGGACATCTGATCACTCTAAATATATAGACATGCTTTAATATAAAATGTTACTTTTAGAAATGGATCAATCCTTTATTAACATGGAAGAAGGAAGATTACAACAATATTTCACTTATCAATGTCAGATCTGAACTGGTTTGGACTCCAGATATTTTTGTATTTTACAAGTATTTTTTTTTTCTTTATAATATTTTTTTCCCAATTTTTATTAATGTATAATACTCCAATTTTAAAAAAAGTGTAAAATACGCGGAGCCAAACCCTTTACAATACTCAAATAATAGTTTTTAATTGCAACTAAGATCTAATACCATTTTTTCTGGAACATATTTATCTAACACTACATTTTCAACACGCTTAAACAAAACTTGATTTGTGTTCTGAATATTTTCAACACATTTTTTGCCAAGTTGTCGATTAAAGATCTTGGCTTAGTTTTATCATCATCAAGCTTCTTAAAAATAGCTCTTAACATGTTTTATATAAGGTTTGTCTTATTGTATTATAAGGTTAGTTTTAACGGTAGTTTGTTTAAATGTGCAATAAAACAATTAGTTGAATTTCAAAAAACAACAATAAGGTGTAGTTTTCTTTTTAGAAACTATTCTTGTTTTACCACTTAGTCTCTTATTGGTCCAGAAGCAGTATTATTAAGAAAAACAGCCTGTATACTTTTCACACTGTAATGTTTTTGTAAAACGGCTGTAACAATAAAGGCGTAGTTTTTTAATGGAATGGTTTTGAATTACATTTTAAAATTACTATAGATCTTGAATCATCTCCTGATTTTTACCAGTTATCAATAAGTTGACAAATTTTAAAATGAGTTAAATTAGCTGTCGCTTATTTGTGATTTAAAATATTTTTTTAGAACCAAGGTTGCTTTACAAATGAAGCGCTTTGTGCTAAAAATATTTAAATTACAAAAAAAATGTTTTGAGAAAATCTACTTTGATTAGCCATTTTAAATCCTTACTTTAAAGTGTTATATCTCTGATCAAAGTAGATTTTCTCAAAACATTTTTTTTGTGACTTGAGTACTTTTAGCACTAAGCTCTTCAAATTAAATGTTGAAACAAGTTTGTTTATTTTGAAACTTTTGAATCTCCCTGAACCAAACCTTTTCAGTCCACCTCTGGCAACAGTTTTGGTAACTACTGGCAACAACTTTTTTTTATAGAAAAAAATAATAATATGATAAAACTTTCTCCATTTTTGTAATTTTAAAAAGTAATGTAAACACAATATATAAGAGTATAATATTTAACATAATTCTTAACTTCTTTTAATTTTTTTTTTTGTATAATATATAAGTTTTATACAGTATATTATATTCTTTATTATAATTTATTTTAATTTACTTTAGAAATTACAGAAGTAAACTCGTTTAAAATCAACCTTGTAAAAATACTACTTGTAAAAGCGGTGAGCGTCGATAAAAACTTTCTTATAACTTCTTAAAATGAAAGAAAAAGGGTGGATGCAGCATTTTTTTAATGTTTGAGAAAGCTAACTTTCAAAACAAAGAGCGAACTCTAAACATTTATATGTTTAAATAATTGTGATGATTGGAGCATGGGAACAAAAAAGGCCTGAATTTTTAGCTACACCTGTCCCAAATGTAAGAGAAACAAGTTGATAAAATATTTACTCTACTGTTCTCAACTAAACTTATCTTCAATTTAAATAAATTTTAAATTTCATAAAATAATTTCTTAGTATTCAAAAATTATGACTATAAAGAGTTTGAACCACCCCATTTGAGGGGGTTACAAATTTTGTAAGGTTATAATTGAGGTCAAAGGTTATTATTTTATTAAGGTATGAAATTTAAAATTTATCAATATAGATTAATTTAATTGAAAATAAAAAAAAAAAATATTTTATTAACTTGTTTATCTCATGTTTGGGGCAAGTGTGGCTAGAGTTAGGGCTTTTTTTTCCAAGTCTCCAATTACCGCAATTTTTTTGTAAAGCATCTTTATTTGACATAAATGCAAATGTATAAATTTGTGGAATTTGTTTTATGTCTGGAAGTTAGCTCACTAACTTCAAAAATCAGCATCTGCACTTGAAGAACAATTAACTAACTTAATTAATTCAAGTTTAAGTCAAGGTAGAACTATTGCGAGGAACTTTGCCTCTAACTTGACTTTTGAATCTAATGACCGAGGTCTTCTTGATTTGTAATGCCACTCAAGTTAAACAGGTTAACTCATCGTTACGCATCTAAATCATTCCGACTTCCGTTGCTCAATTAAACTCTTCTGTGGTTTGTGGTCCAGACAGATATTCTTTAATAGCCCTTTACAAGGGTTGTGACGAACTTTTTTTTTTAATTATTTAGTAAGTGCTTGAATGAATCTTGCTTTTATTCCTACTGGAAAATAGCATCTGTAGTTTGAAGTTTTATAAACTTTGGAGAACATTCTGACTCTTCTAACTCTCGTCCGATCTTTTTTCTCTCTATTGGTCTTTGAGTCTTAATTCACAAAACTTCTACCATTTTATCTTGAGTCTAATAATTTAGTTTCTAACGATCAATATGTTTTCAATCTTCATGTTCTACGGCTGACTTGCTAACTGCTTTAACTAAAAGATTTTACTGTGCATTAGATTGGGGTGGCGAGGTAAGGGCTATAATTAATTTTTTGATGCTAAATTAAGTTTCCGATGCTGGTCTTCTCCATAACCTTGCTTCATATGACGTATCTGTGAAAATCTTTTAGATTATCAAATGATTTCTGAGCAGCCGTGGCGCAGTGGTTAGAGTTCTGGCTCAGAACCCAGAGGTCAAATGATTTCTTTCTTACCACAGTATTATAATCATTTTCAACACTCTTTTTCAATTGCAGTAACTTTGGAGTTACCTTAATATTTTATCCTTGTTCTTATATTATTTCTTATATACATTAATGATATAGCTGACAATCTTACCATAAAAGTGGCTCTATTTTGGAACAACTCAACTTTATACTCCTGCCTTGACAAAACGTCTGCTCTTTTTTATCGCTTGAAGCAGGCAGCCGATCTCTAATCTGATCACTCTTCTGCAACAACTTGGGGCTTGTAGTGGCTTGTAAATTTTAACTCCAGCAATAACTCAGTTATTTACTGCAAACAAATATAGCAATATCGTTGACATTTCTATATTAATGAACAGTAGCACTCTCGCTGAGTCCTCTTCTTTACGTTTTATTGGATTTTCATTCTAATAATCTCTCATAGAAACTAAATATACAATGGATTGCAAAGTTAGCGTTTAACAATATCAATTTAAAGATATCATAGTTGCTGATCAAAGGAGGTATAATTTTCAGTTCCATCAACCAAAACTCGTTCCCGTTTGACTGACATTCAGCAAAGTTAAATCTTTTTACAGTAACTGTCCCTTCATGCATAAAAACTTATATTCATCTAATTTTTCCGATGCACTTCAATGCTTTGAAAGCCACTTTATATTTTCCTGACTCATACAAACCTCAACAGCTCAAGTCTTTTGTCGACCGTTTTTTTGTTCTTTAACTCGAGTATAGATCTATACTTTGTTTTTTAGTAACTGCCAACATAGCTTTGTTGGGAGTAAAATAAAATTAAAAAAAATAAAACTAATTTAATTTTTAAATTTAAAATATTTAACTTTTATTGCGAATATAAATTTATTTAAAATTTCAATTTTAAATACTTTTAAACGATTTAAAGAAATCGTATTGGCTTTTTAAAAAAATTGCGCTAAATTAGATTTACTGTTATCTTTAAACAAAAAATTTATTGGTTATTATTTGGTATAAGCTGAAAAGGTTATTTTAGGTTGTTGTTTTTTAAGTGTGTGTGTGTGTGTGTGTGTGTGTGTGTGTGTGTGTATATGTGTGTGTATCTGTATAGGTGCGCGTCTGTGTGTATGTGTGTGTGTACTCACTTTGCTTTTGTAACATATATCTAATTTAGCAATTAATTTTAGAGCATCTTACAGTATTACTTAACATAAATTTAGTGTAGAAGAAGACAAGAAATATAATGGTCTATTGGACACTTTTAAAACTTTTATCATTGTATCAAGTGATGGTTTGCATGAATGGAATGCACCAGTGATGTTTCATATGAGCTGTACAATGAACGTTAAAGATTTTCCATTTGAAACACAAACTTGTCCGATGCAGTTTAGCAGTTTAACTTATACATCGGAAAAAGTAGATCTAGTCCCTGATAATGTTGATATGAAACTATACTCTCGTAAGATTTGTTACTATTTTTGGAAATAAAATGTGTAACTACAATTTAATTACAATTAACTACAATTTAAATACATTCAAAAATATTAATACTTAATGATGTTAATATTAAACTATATTCTCATAACATTTTCAATTATTTTAAAAAAAAAAGGGGTTGTTTCTCTTTTCAAATAATTAAACAAAACTCTAAACGTAAGAGTAATCTTTATAATTTAGCTAGCGCCGAATGGTTATATATCTCTATGGAAAAAGTAAGCGAGCCAAAAATGTATCCTCACTCGACTACACCACACGTGGATGTTACGTATACCCTAATAATGAAGCGAAAGCCACTATATCTTCTTTTGAATTTAGTAATTCCAAATGCCATATTTGTATTTTTAACTGTCCTCGTTTTTGTTTTGCCAGTATATAAAGGTAACCAAAAATTTTACTACTACTACAGGATAGTATACCATTACATTATGATCTATGATATTTAACATAAACTATCTCCACTACATAAAACTTCATTAACTTTTATTAATAAGTTAGATTTTGTAATTATTATTATAACTACAAACAATTTTTAGTTTTAGTAATTATTTAATCAAAACTTTTTAATAGTTGTTCTTTTTTTGTTGTTGTTGATATTTTTTATTTTTATACTTAGGTCAAAGAACGCCTTACGTTGTTACAATTGTTCTTGCTATTGTTTGGTTTCTCGTATCTTCGATAAATACGATGACAAGTGGTTCTGAAGGAGTTCCTTTATTTTCATGGTTTGTGAGCCTTAGTTTGGTTGTTGTGGTATTTTTAATGTTTTGCTTATGTTACTCTTCCGCTTGCTATTTTGCGAATGCGAGTTTATCAGAGCTTCCGCTGTGGATTCGATATTATGTCCTAGGCATTTTAGCAAGATATTACGGTATCAAGTCAGAAAGGGTGCTTCCTCAATGGCGTAAACAATTAGAAATTCTCAAGAAACATGAAAATTTAAAAGAAAATATATCTTTAAAAAAATTGTTTGTAAAAGAATCGGAAAAAAAACCAGGACTTTTGTGGTCAGCAAGTCATTTAACAAATCTTGATGAGCTATTCCAAGGTAAACCAAACGTTAAAGAAATCCACAAAAAAATTGACTACATACTCTGTCATATGGTTGAAAATGACGATGCTGAATGGCTTCAGACTGAATGGAGAATTGTTTCATTGGTATTAGATCGACTTTTTTTAAGTTTATTTTTAGGAACACTTAGCATGATTGTATTTGGATGTTGTATTAGAATTGTATATATTCCGTAACTTAATTTTAAATATCGTTTACAGTATTTGTTTAGGATCTAAATTTTTAAAAATAGAAATCGAATTTTTTTATTTATATATTTTTAATATGTTCAAAGTTATATAATAAGTTGTAATGTACCTGGTTGATTATGTGAGATTTGGAAAGATCTAAAGTTTTTGCGTATAAGTTAGTGATTTTCTAACTTTATAAAGTAATAAATAAGATGGTTTTTTTTAAAAAAAAAATGATTGAGGCATTTATGAAAAGCACACACTCTGCAAAAAGTTGTATATGATTTAATATGAATTTAGGCAAGATAAGTTTATGAAATTTGTAAAAAAAAATTGCTTAAAAATAAACTAAAAAACTTATTAGTTGTTTATGTCAGTTTAACGACGAACTTTTAACAGCGAACTTTATCTGAAATTGAAATGTTATAGTATATTCGAATGCAGTTCAAAGGTTTTATTTCTATTGTTATAATCTATATTTTTATATTATGGTTTTCATTAAAAACGTCTTTATCTGATGTGTTGTTATCGTTTTCGTCATTGCATGTATTTCTTTGCTGTATTAAAAAGTTATAATCAAATGTTTTGGCAAAGAAATAGTTGAATTATATATAGTTCGTTTAATTTTTGATGTAATGTTTGTCAATAAACATGCCAATGTTTTGCATGTCCTACAATATAATTATATCTTGGTACCTGTTGCAAATCATAGCGAATTATATAAACTACAAAGTGAAAGAAATGCAAGAGAAACCAGCAATTAATCTCCTGAAAAAAAAAAATTTGTATTTTTTTTTGTATCTGAAATTTTTACTTTCAGTTGATACACAAGTGATTCTATTTAAAGGAGCCGGCAATTTCTTTGTCCCAAAAAAATTTTTTTTTAAAAGAAAAAATAGGTAAATTAATGGTAATATTTGCTAATGTGTCAGATGACGTTTATAATTTTAAGATTGATGTAAAAAAATTAAATTGATACTTTTGTACTGCACAAAAAATGTAGGTGCAATGCAGTGGATTTTTTGTTTTTATAATACTCAATGATAGATTTTAAGTTAAATAGACAATTAAAAACGGCAGGAGAGAGATTTGTATACTTTTACATAATACACGAAGCATAAAATATTAAAAATATTGAGTTCGTAAACATTAAGTATTTTCATTTCAGAAAAAAACTTGTTTAGAGTGAGAAATTAATTACACGTATTAGATAAATAGCATTAGTAGCTATTAGGTAAATAGCATTTTTTTGGTTATCGATTGAAAAAGAATTCATTTTATTTTGTTAATATTTAGGGTAAGTTTATTGGACTTGAACCAGCTAGAAACATTTTTTAGTTCTTCATTTATAGAAGTAAAGTTTATTAAATATTGTTATTAGATAAAAATAAACTAGTATCTTCCGCAAACATAATAGTTAAAAAAATTAGAAGTTTTATGCAAATCATTAATGTAAATTAAAAAAAGTAGTGGCACCATAATTGATCCTTGCGGAACACCACATGAAATATCGAAAACATTTTTTTGATAAAGATTGTTAAAAGAATCGAATTGTTTTCGGTTTGTTAAATAACTTTAAATCATTTTAAATTTACGCCATTCACTCCATAATATTTAAGTTTATGAATCAAAATGTCATGATTTACTGTATCAAATGCTTTTAATAAATCTAAAAAAATACCTAATGTGAATAAGAAAATTCATGGGCGAATTGGATGATTGCATGGTCAGTAGACACGAGTCAAAGGTAGTACGTTTAGGTTAAACATTTGATTACTTCAAAAATTTTAATTGTATGATATAAACGAATAATAAACAGACTTATCTACGAAGAGAACAAATTGTTAGGTGAACATAATATAATATAACTAGAATAAGTTAAAATTTGAAAATTTATATATAATATATATATATTAGGCCCTCAGAAATTTTGAGATTTTCTAATTAATGTCATCTAAACTCTATTGCTTGATTATACTGATACTGCTCTTCAAAGAAGTTCTCGATGATTCAATTTAGATTCAGAAGCTGAGAACATGTTGAGATAAACAGATTTAGAATACTATTCAGCATACACTCCTAATGGTATTTTGATTTTGTTTAAGAAATCAACAAGGTGGTGTTCAATAATTTGACCTTTCCACCCCCATTGAAAGGCTTTGATTGAAATTAATCTGTACATAAATCTTTTCCTAAATCATATTAAAAACTATATCAATAATTGGTTTATTACATAAAATGTTTATAAATAAGAATTAGTTTCATGTTTAATTTAATTTCATATTCAATCATTCCTTTCCTAAAAATTCCTAAATTCAAATTTACCTTCAACTTCTTAACATAATTTGCAATGGCAGCTTTATAACCTTCAACCAATTTTATCCCGAACCACATTTCAACTACTAAAGGTTAATGTTTAAGTTTACACTATGCAATAATTTTGTAATAGAAAAATTAATACATAAATGTATGTATTTATGTGAGTGTTTATAAATATTTAATTAAAAGTTAGAAAGATACAAAAAAAGTTTAAAAAAGTCAACTATATCTAGAATTTTTGTAAAAAAAAAAAAGATCCTTTACAAAAAAAGTGAAGGCCCCCCACCCTGGTGTCGTTGGCTCTGTTCAATTATATTTATTCCAAATTATACCACAATTACTTAGCCAGACAGCAATATCAGGCTCTTTACATAACATATTCGAGATCACTGTCACAATCTTCATTATCTCTTGGAGGAACTACATGAAGTACAAGCTTATCTCCAGCTACATAAGGTAGACATGGATGCGTAAAACTTTTGTAAATCTGCATAAAACATTTTTTAGATCCATTTTCAGCAAAGCTTCCATATATCAACTTTAACTTATTGTACTAGTTCTCAGTTCTCCCAGATTTAACTTTTGACCATCACAATATAAACAAGAGTACTTTCATCCATGTCCTGACAATTATGTTTAGCAGTTTAAGATCTGCTACTTGTTAAAACGTTAAATTATTGAGTATTATTTTCTCTATAAAAATTTGAATCAGTCATTGTATGTTTCCATATTGAAAACATTAGTTATAACTTTCAAGGATCCTTAACCACCATTTCCACACAAATTATAATTTTATCCACATCTAATCTTCTAACAGTGCAAATATGATTAACAAGTGATCTTTCACATATACTTGATCTTTAATAATAGTATGCAGAATTTTATTATTTCCAACTTTTTTCTTTGTTGTAAACTGGACTTTTTTTACCATGTAGAAATCATCGAGAGTATATGATCATAAATTTATTTTCTTTGAAGTACTAGCTTCCACTCCTAATCTACCCAAATTTTTTCTTCCATTTTTTCCTAATGGGTTTATTGTATAATCTGACAGATCGTGTTTTCTTTTTATATTATAGAAAGTTTAGCTTGAAATTTTATTCATGATGTACTTTTTTTCAATCTGCAGACTCAATGGAGTCCCACCTGTCGACAATTTCATAGTTTTGTCTAAATGAATATTTTTAACTTGCTATAGAGATTTAGAGAGAACTTGTTGAACTGTTTTTAAACTTTTGAGATTACCAGGTTTCTTAAGTTTTCCACTCTTTCTTATTACAGGAGTGTCAAATGCTAAATCCAACTGTTTGATAATTATTGAAACAAGTTTTTTTAATTAATTGTTACTTTAGGTTCATTTGTGTACTTATTTATGGAGACACGCATTGCACTTACACCCATACACTCACATACATATAAAGCAGAGCCATATCCACCGGTGCGGGATGAAGGGGGGGGGGGAAGGAGGCTTTGGCATATAAAATTTTACATATCGTCCCCTCAGTATATATATATATATATATATATATATTGAATAATATATGTATATATATATATATATATATGTATATATATATATATATATATATATATATATATATATATATATATATGTATATATATATATATATATATATATATATATATATATATATATATATATATATATATATATATATATATATATATATATATATATATATATATATATATGTATGTATATATATATATACATAGTGTATTTATTTTATATATTAAATAGAACATTTTATTTATTACATTTGTAAGTAGAACAAGATAATACTGAGGGGACGATGTATGTAAAAAAAATTTAACAGATATATTTTCATATATGCAAGATATGTTTTAAGACATTCCATACCTTTCATTTCTTTTAGAATTTTATGTGTACTGAATCAATCAACTTTCATGTCTTCTCTCTAAAGTTATAGTGGCTAACAAATGGTGGCAACGTTTTGTTGCATTATTTTAATGCTACATTTTATTACAAAAATGCTCCTAACATACAAAACCTAATGATGTTCTGTAACAGCCAGACTAGTACCATAGCTTATATTGTTAAGAAATAATTCATTTTCACGCGATCTGCAAAAATAACTATTCATCAAAAACAATGAGTTTGTAACACGTGCGGATATTGTATTTTGAAGCTTTCAATTATACAATTAGTTTTATAAAACAGAGGTTTGATCAACCTGATTATAAGATATATATTGATCTTCAGGAAGTTCTTCTTAAGTCAATGAAAAGGGAAAGTTGGGAAAATCATCAGCAATCAGTTTGTCACTTTTATTGTCAAAACATTGCCCAATCTTTAGTTGAAACACAATTTTCCCTTCTCCCAAGTATTGTAATATCATTAGGTTACGAAACCAAAAAATTTACTATCAAAGATCTCATCTTGTTTTTCAAGAGTTTGATTCACTCTAAAAGCGCTTTACTTACCAAATTTGTAAAGATTGCTTGGCTATTTCTGATCATGCTAGCTACTAATGCTCTTGGTGAAAGATCTTTCTCCGCTTTGAAAAGAGTTAAAATTTACCTTCGATTGACAACAACAGTTTCCCACCTAAACAACTTGCTAGTTCTTCATACTCACGTCGAAACAGTGGACGAAATTGATTTGGATGAGATTGTAAATGAGTTTATTAATAAATGTCAAATACGAATAAACATTTTCGGAAATTTCAGTTAGCATTTTTGTAGAGATAAACAATGTTTGACACAAGATGTGGAGTTTGATGTTTATTAAATATACATTATAAATGAAAATCAAAAATTTTCGTTACGCCATCTCTCCTTTATAGGAACCATAGGCCACCCTATATCAAAATTGTGGTTTCGGCTCTGTAAAGTTAGTGAATATGCAAATATAAAATAAATTTTGACAAAAAATTTTTATAATTATTTAAACTTTTATTTCATGAACACCAAAATATTATTTTAAAAAAAACTGTTTTATAAATTTAATTCTTGTTTAGGACAGTTAAAAAAAAACAAAAAAAAACATTGTAGATCCCAAATTTACTGTGGAGGGGAGCTCATTTGCCCCTCTCTCTAAAATGATGATATTCTCGTCAGGATGTACATCAAAGAACTTATTCTCTTCTTAGATAAATCTGTTTATTAATATACAAAAATTTTAATTGCATGATATTAAGTATTAGTACTTAATATTATGCAATTAAAATTTTTGAAGTAATCAAATTTTTTACCTAAACGTACTTCATTTGACGAGTGTAAAACTATTTCTTTTAAAACCAAAAATACTTACATAAAAAATTCTTGTCCTTAAAATAAGTATATAATCTATTTTTTAAATAATTTTTTCTAAGATTTTTAAAAATATTGATAAAATAGAGATAGGTCAGTAGTTACATATATTCTTTGTATATTGGGATTATCTTGGCTATTTTTTTACTGATCAGAAAAAACTTCTTGTTGTATTGACGCTTTGAAAATTTTAAAGAGAATATCTTTTTTTTAATTGTTTAAAGCATTCTAGGACTATGTTTCCGTTTATTTTGTCCGCTCAAGAGTCTTTGTTTTTTTAAATAACGCTTGAAACTTCTCAAATGATCAGAAGATAATTCATTAGAGCACTCATTATCGGTGTTAAAAACCCATCGGTGTTAAAAAGTTATTGAACACAACTTCGGTATTAGGAATTTTATTTGCCAGTTTGGAACCGATGTCATTAAAGAATTTGTTGAACTCTTGAGCAAATTATCTAGGTTTAAAAATATCTTTGTTATCCACTCAATCACATGCGGTAGAGAACCTGAGCAAGTTTTTTGTTTTCCATTATTTTCTCTTAATATTTTCCTAATGCGTTTAGAGTCGTTCACAACATTTTCAATTTGTTTTGAGTAGTAATACTTTTTTAAGTATTTACGAGTTTTTTCAAATAGATATTTGTAATCTTTGTATAATTTTTCATTTAAAAGTGTTTTTATTTTTAAGTAATTTATTTATAACATTTGTTTGATCTTAGATGATTTTTTTAAGGTCTTAGTTATCCAAGGAGCATTTGTACTTTTTTTTAAAAATAAAGTTAATAATTTGTTTTTTTTTTAAATAGGAAAATTTGCATAATAGACATAATAAAATGTTGAAAAAAAACTTTCATAAATTTTGTTTGCGTCGTCATTAAAGTTTATATGCTTCCAATGAAGCGATGATTGTTTTTTAAACTGTTCAATATTGCTCATATTATATATGTTTTTATTTATTTTATTATTAGAAAATATTTTTCCTAAAACATCAAACCAATACAATACTTAACCTACTGGATGATTTGTAAAACTTTTTCGTATATAAAAACTTACCAGGTTCTCCATTTCTTATCGTGGTCCAATGCTATAGAACCATTTTACAACCCTGAGTCGTAGACTTAGAGAAGCCAATACCGCTCAAAAATTTAAAAAGAACATAATTGAGCTTATTGCCAATCAAAATTCTTTACTTGATCTTTACTAACAATATAATTTTATCCTCTTTTTAATTATTAAATGTTACTGATGATAAGATTTTTTCTTCTTCAGGTTCTGCGTTCTTGAAACTACTATATATAATGAAGTTTGTTTGTGTTTAATACTTTTAAATATTTTCATGATGGAAATCATCTTGAATTATAAGTGGTTGCTGAAAAAAAAAAAAAAAAAGTATTGTATTTACGTTATTTTACGTTATTACTCTACTATATATTTCTGAAAACAATAAACCCTTAAACTTGAACTCACCATTTGCTAAATGTGAGCAAAATAATTTTATATATAAAAAAACTTACTTTCCTGCACTAAATCATTAACTCATTAATATGTTTTGAATTTTAATTATTTTTCTTCCTTATATAAACTAATAATTTATACAAAACTTATTTACAGTAATAGTTGTTCATAAAAATTTTTTTATTTAAAAACAACATCTTAACACTTTGTCATGATAAGCTAGGTTTTCACTATCAATTTTTAGAGGTGGCTTGAGCAATACCTAATTACACAGTTCTTTAGCTTTTTGCAGTATCTTGGATAAACCAAATTTCGTTTGTAAGCACCTGTTTCCCATAGCCTGCTGAAATTTGAATGAACTGATTCTGATGTTTGCTCACTTTAAAACCCAAGACCTCTTGAAAATTGTTTTGGTAGAGTTAAGGAATGTCTTTGCTGGGTAATATTATGCTTTTAATCCTGATTGTCAATAAACTTAGGTAAGTGTATCAAGCACATACTTGAGTTTATGAACTTTAGCATGAACTTTAGGTGTAATTGAAATTCCAAGTGCTTTGTATGCTCTCTCTAAAGAAAGTATGGAACCTCTACAATATGAAACTTGGACATTCCAAAAGTATTTCTGTCTGACTGCATCAAATGATTTAAATGCAGAAAGAAGTTTTTTCCTTCATTTCCAATTTTGGCATTTGCAAGCATTTTTTATAAGACATTTTTAGGAAATGCCTACATTGGTTTCCATTGAATTCTTCTTTATGGATTAATGGCTGTTACATGCTTAGTTTGTTTGACCAGACAGATGCTTTCAAAGAACAATAATTGATTTAGCAAAGGATAGCTATCAAATGATCAATTAGCCTGTTGGTAATTTCTAAAAAGATATGCAATTCTATGATTGGCAAAATATCGAAATTTTTTTTCATCTGGAAGATCAAGTAGATGGAGGTTCATACCACTTTTGTAGCTTACTGCCAAGAGCTTTGATTTTTTTTTGAATAGCACTGAGATCTTTCTTCTGTAGAAGTTTCACACCAAGAACAGGGGTTTGTGGATGCAGCTGAGTCTACTTCAAGAAAATTGTTTGCAAGTTTCATGTCGACAGCTGCGGTAAAAGCAACACTTTCAAGACAAAGCAACTCTAAATTTTGCTTCAAATTCTCATAAGACTCTTTCACTGACTCAACAATCGCTAAAGTCATGAATTGATTTTGACTAACACATAAATATTGAGAAAACCACCACCTCCATCAATGTCTACTTTGATCATAAATAATCTGGTGAAAGGTCTCAATGCTCAAGGATGTGTTCAACCAAACAAAAAAAGTCCATTATTGTTGCCAACAGCGCTGCCATACTTTAACTGGCCCACGAGATGGTAAAAAATCTTCGGCTGCTATTGGAGATATTCCTACTTGGAAAGGAACAGCCTTAGCTGATTTTTGGCTTGTTTGTATTGGATGACTTCACAAATAAGGCAACAGCATAAAGGATTTGATCTTATCAGAGTCGTAAGAACAACTTTGGAAAAATCAAAAGAGCCAGGTAGATCATTATTTTTTTCTCCCCATTTTCAATCTTAAGAATTAGTCAAAATCTAGTATATATAGCAGAAAGTAAACGCTCTTCATTAAGATCATAGTTCTCAATGAAGTATTTCTGATATCTTGGAAGTATAAAGTCTCTTCTAGCTGGCACCTTATCTATTCCTTTTTAAAAGCAAACCTGACATACTTTAGCATAATTTCAGTGTGTGATAAAGTCTTGTCAGGCATTGTGGCAATAGATTTAGACAATAAATATTTATGCGCTAGTGCAAGTCTGGACTTTCACAGAAATGACAAATGCAAAATTATGAACGTTGAAAAACATAAAAGTTGACATTTTTTTTCCTAAAACCATAAATTTTTGTTAGTATTGCTTTTCTCTTGACTGGAAGCCAAGAAAACTATTTTAATTTAAAGTTTTATCAATTGAGAAACTTTGTTTTGAAAATAAATGAAAATAAATATTTTCTGTATTTTAGGGTTTTAAACGAAGCGTTAAAATGACCATGACTTTCTCGGACGTCGAAAAATAGCCTTACGACATAAAATTACGTCATACTGATTATAAACATAATTCCTAATTCTTAGTAAAATATGAATCCGAGCACAATATATTCAAAATGCTCAAAATTACTCATACTGATATATTAGCTATATCATACTGACACAGTATTTAGCTTTTATAAATGTTTAACCTTTAATTAGATAAATAATGTTGGTAAAATTTATTTAGCATGTTTAGAAGGAGTAGCCTTAACAAGAAAACCTTGCATAACAAGCTAGCGGCAGTAAGCTTTTTTCATAAACATAACAGTTTTGAAAATTAAAATTTTCATAAGTATTTAAAACCTTATGCCCTTAAAGTTATAATTTTTTTAAATGATATTGTAAATTGAAAGTATTACTCAGCAACGTGAACCAAAAAAATAAAATCTCTTTTTTTAGTATATAGATAATCTAAAGAAGATGTACAACTTTTTTTATTATATTCAAACAACAAATATACATATAAATGTTGTTCATTTAGAACTAAACATCAATATAGTTGCAGTTGTGATAGTTATAGTTGGTGCAAGTTTCTGTAAAGTTTTTTTTGTCTTTTAAATTTTGATTGTGATTTGATAAATGATTTTGAAGACATAAATACTCTTCAGTTATTTTTTCTATTACTAAAATATATCATTGATCCTAGAAGTTTTGCAATGACATATGTAACAATGACTAGCTAAAGAATTAGGTGAGAGTTTTATAGCCTCACGAAAGTTATTTTTGGCCTCAAACTTTTCTGCTACTTTAAAGAAACTGCTTCAAAAGCAAAAAAGTGGACAAAAATGACATTATTCATAAAATTATTATTTTAAAGGCTGTGAACATTAATCATTAATAAGTCTGCAAGAAATTGGATGAAAATATTGATACCTAAAGGTGTAAACTATATCAGTCTCAAAGCAGCATTTTATAAATTAATTTTTTTTCTAATTGGTCTCTTAAATAATTAAGTAACTTAGCTGCATTTTCTTTCACTGTTTATATTTTGTTTGTGAAGTTGAGTCTGACCTCTTGCTATAACAGTTTTTATCTCCAAAGGTTTTTTTAGTATTTGCTTATCTTTTTTTTTGTTTACTAACTTCATGTTAACTCACGAACATAATGGATGTTGTAAAATTCTATGTGACTCCTATTCACGAACATAATGGATGTTGTAAAATTCTATGTGACTCCTACTTATTTACAAAAGAGGTGTTTTCATATAGCTTTTTATAATTAGTTTTTTTAAATTTGTACAAATTATATAACTGTACTACCCCTAAATAATGTTTGAGTGGTTTAAAACTTAAAACTACCATTTTTGAATGAGTTAGAACCTAACATACAAACTTTAACTCAAAAATAAAAATATATTTATAGTAGTTGGACAGAATATATGTAGACAGATATATGTAGAAGTAGGACACCCTAATGCTCTATTATTGTCTATGAGTGTTTGCTATACTGCATGCAAAGAATGGATGCCCTTTAAATAATAGGCTTTTTGTGGAAAGAATGTTACTTAGGTATGGTTTTAGGTTGGTTTGTTTTCAAAAGCATTATCTTGTAAATGAATGCTCAGCAAATTATTTACAAGTTATAATCAGCTGGGACTAATTCTTGTGAATATAGTAGGTGAAGTAATAAATTCAGCTAAATTTTAATAATTTTTAAAGTTGATTTTGTGACATTTAGTTGATTGTTTTTATTAAAAAACAGTTCATTCAATTCATTGAGAGCAAACATCATGTTGCTTTGGATAATCAGTTGACTAATGACACAGTTGAGCTCTGCAGTGACAGTTTTATTGTCTTCAGTGACAGTTTTATTTTTTGGATAAAGCTTAGTTTTTGCTATTGGTTTTAACTTTTTGAGTAGCTAAGCTATTTACAGTTTCTGGTTTAATATTGCAAAAAGGTACATCTTTAAATGTCGGCTTTGCTGATTTATAGTCACATTATGATAAACCCAAACACCTAATTTTGAGTGACCAAGCTGATTCAGATGACAAAAAATAATAATATGGTAATACCTAAAATTACTTGTTATCAAGATGCCATGGGTTGCTCTCAATTAGCTCTTTTAATTGGTCAGAACTCAATGCCAAATGATTCATCTTTTAACTTATAGTTATTTTTATAGAAATGTTTGGAACAATTTAATTTGCAGTGTGTGTTAAATAATATAACAATGTTTTTATTATTGTATTGTCTTTTGGTGGAAAATGTATTTTTTTAACCTGTTTTTCTAATAACAAAAAAAATAGCTGATGTTCCAAAAACAAATTTTCCATATTTTAAAGTAAATGTGTTTTCAAGAAAATTCTCAATTTATATTAAATACTGATCATTCTTCTAGAATATTCCTGAATTACATGTATGAGCAATTTAGAAAAATGGTATCAAAAAAGTATTCCATGGAAGCAAGTTGTAAAATCTATGAGGCCTGCAAGGCACACTTTAACATGCTGATTGGAGATCAGGATGAGTGTTGAGCACATATTGTTCAGGACTTGAACCATATTGGAAAAGAAATCTTTAAAATAAGTTTAATTACTTCTTGATTAAATTTTGTTGAATTTCAATGATTTAGATATATTCATTTTAAGAAGTTATAATCAATTAAGTTTCTTTATAAATAAATGTACTTAAGGAAAATATCTTATATGTTAGTGTTTTACTCAAGTGATTGCTAATTCTGCATTGTGGATACCAACAAATGTGGCTCAGGCACAAATGCGCCTCAAATTGTTTATCCAGACATTTTTTTTACCTATTGCCCATGTACAACACAACCCTAAGCTGCCTGTTTTTACTCATACTAAAAGGGATTAGCCATCTTTAAAAAAAAGTAGCATGAAGATAATATTAGATATTCAAACTAAAGTTTCCCAGGTGCAGTTAAAGAGAAGATGTTGTCCTTCCCCAAGATGTAGTGACCTATAACTAATGCTATGCTACCCTAATCTATAATGGAGTTACTGATATGTAATTGGGTATAAGTAAGGTATATAATTGCATGCTATTCCTTACCAATATATCTAATGTTTGAGAATAATTCAAAAATCCATTGAAATAAGTAACTTTGAAACTGAGTTATTTTATAATTAAATATTTTTATATTATTCTTTATTATTGTTTATATTATTATTTACATAAACTAATAAATTCTTTTAAATGATTGTTTAAGATAAAAAATATTTTATTTAAATTATCTAAGTATGTCATATAAAGCTGTTGTTTTTATTTTTAAATATTTTTTACGATAAATTTTATTTTTTTTAAACAATATTTATAGTAATTTTTTAAACAGGGGTTTAAACAATGGTTGTGCTTTCAAGAGTTTTTTTAAGTATCAATAAATTTTACATAGTCAAAAGCATACCAAATTTTTGTGAAAGAATGTAAATTGAAAAAAATCATAAAATTTTAGTAGTCAGATTCTAATGTGCTAAAATTGTCATTGTTGCTGCTTTCCTTGCTATTATAATTTGTTGCAAATATATATCTTAAATAAAAATTAATGCCACTAATCTTATCTTTTTCATGGGTTTATATCTGACTACTGCTGAATTGTTTCTACCATTATAAAAGCAATGGATTGTGGATGCAATGGATCTTGGATGCAATGGATTTTTTGACAAAAAAAATTTTTCTATGCTATAATTGAGTTAATTGTTTGTTTTTTTACTACAAAGAATTGTTTAAAATCCTTTTTTTTTAAACTTTATTTACTAATCAAAGCATGAAATGGTTTTAAAATAAAATTGACTTTATTTGTTAAATGTGTTATTATTCTACTAATGTATATTTAGTCTTTTAAATAAGGGGGAGGGGGGAGAACATTAATTAATTTTTGGATAATTTTCTCACCCTAAGCATATTAAGATTTTCCCATTTTTTATTAAGTTTTACTTGTTATCAACAAAAAGTTTAAATCTCAAAACTAAAAAAAAACGCAGTGAAAATTGGCCTTAAAAATTAGAAAATGATTATTTCACTCATCAATAAAAACAAAAACTTTCAGTTTTTAACAACAGTTTTTAACAGGTTATAAAACTTATATCAGTTTTTAAAGCAGTTTTTAACAGGTTATAAAACTTATATCAGCAAATTAAATCCTAGTGAAATTATGATAAAACAGCTGCTAAAAAAATGCACATTTGACCGCAAGCCAAAATAGTTTTATTTGTGTTTTGTTAAAAATATTAATTCGAATAAGTTGAAATTTTTTATAAAAAATACATGCATTGTAACATGGTGTCAAATAGTAAGTTTTCACAATATGACAGAGATAAATATAGTTTAGAAGATATAAAAAATCCCACCCCCTTTTTTTGTTAACCCCCACTCGTTTATTAAGTCTTGCCTAAAATTCCCACATAAGTACATAAATAATTATGTAAATACATAAATAATAGAATTTCATCAAAAACACTTTAACAGTCTAATCAGAGATCTTATCAAGTCAAATGCTCAGCTTTTGATATCCAGTCTTAAAGAATTTGTTAGTTACAAATGTCACAGATCAGTGAAAGCGTCAAAAAAATCACAGATTTAGGAAATCTATTAATTTCACTTTTTGATTGAATTTTTTACTAGGCCAAATGAATGAAAATATTAAATTTTTTTTTGTTCTGTCTCAATAAAAACAATATTTCTTTAGGCTGTGGTCATAAAATCAACATTTATGCTCAATTTTCTTTTTCCTCAGTCTTAAGATGTACTAATTGAAATATAACATTTTGAATCCAAAAGTTGTGTTACCTTGTTATCTTGGCTATTTTGGTCAGGGCTGCTGAAATCCAAATTTTTTTACGGTTTTGAATCATTATTGGTTTATGGTCTCTAGTGTCCATAAGCTCCAAAAACATTAAGAGACTTGTGGGTCACATAAAAAATATATACATTTTGTTTCAAGTCTTGAAGTATTTTATATTTTAGACCAGTATTCTATAGTCCTAAAGTTGCTGTTTGCCATTTTATGTAAGGATTCTGGATTCAAAATTGATAGATCCTGTACTGTAAATGTCTTTATTTAGTGCTCTATAAGTCTCTTGATCTAACTCCTGCACTCAAAAGATCAGGAATATATTGTGGATTTTTAATTTTCATAACTGTATTTTTTATAGGGACTTTGCACCCCTAATCTTGGTTAGTTAAAAGTTAATACATGGTTTCAAAACTACTTTTTTGTCTCTATTTTAACTTTTTTTAAAAGCTCAATTATTATTTTCCATAAATGTAGAATATCGCTATCTTGTTTTTAGGTTAATGATTTGCCTGGCTCTGATGTGTTTGATTTATCGGATTGTGGTATAAATAAGGTTAGAGTTAAAGCATTCAAAAAATGATAAAATATGTAAGCATTAAACATCAAATAAATACATTTTAAAAATATTTTTACTGTTTAACTTATTTTTAGTATGTAATATGAGATATATATTATATTTAGTATGTAACATTTTTAGCATTTTCGAATTCAAAGCTTTAATTTAGAGATTTAATAAAATGGTATGTGAAAAAAATAAAAAAGTATTTCATTTTTGTTTTGTGATCAAAAATTTCATATTTTTACTGACAATACCGCTATTAAACATTTATCACCTATTATATATTAACATTGTTGTGATGGGTTAATCACACTTTATTGCGATGAATTTATCATACTTAGGCTTTGTTAAAGAAGTTTTTTTTGTGCTATTGTGGGTTATGTGGTTGCTCTTTAAATTTACTTTTTAAAAGATTTAAAAATTTATGCATATTTTATTTAATTTCTAATTTTATCCATGTTTTCTTAGTTCTAAAAAGATAAAAAAAATTGTTTTAAATTTTTACAGATGGCGTATTTTATATATAAATATATATATATATATATATATATATATATATATATATATATATATATATATATATATATATATATATATATATATATATATGTATTTTCATTTTACGTATAATTACAAAACTCTTTTTTTTTTTTCGTTTGTAAGCAATTTAACTTAATAAAATAAAAAAAAAAATAAACATGAGGTAATCTTTGTTAAGATGAAGATCACATAACTTACATTTGATTTTAATAGCGTAAGTCTTCTCTTTTTCTGTGATCATCGCATTGGCAAAGCATTGGCAAAGTCCCAAGATTTAAAAGTTTTTAAAGTAAATCTTTTGTCCTTCAAAATACAATCCATATTCGAACTTTAAACAATTTAGAGATAATAGAAATATACAAGGTTTTTATATACTAGTTTGTTTTGTTTTATAAAGAAAAATACATATTCATTAGTAAAAAATGGAGACTGTCATTAAACTAAAACATGCCTTGGTATTTATTTAATAGAACCTGTAATTTGCGCGTGCATAATAAAACCTCCGTTATATAAATATATTCAACATAATATTAGTGTCATCAGCGGATGTTGTAGTCTACTCATGATTTCTTTACCTTATAATATAACTTGATTTATGAAAAAAAAAAACTTATTGAATCGCACGCAGAAGAAATTTAACAAATTGTCTTTATTTAAATATTGCGAGTAGCAGGTAATTTTTTTTTTCTGTGCCGACCCCATCCCCCCACATAACTTAAAGGTAAAGGTATCTATATACCTTTAACTAATAAGAAAAGCAAAGACATTTTTTTAAATATATATCGAAAAAAATATCTTGATATTTTTGTTATCATGATAACAAAAATATTAAGACATTTTTTGAGATATTAAAAAAAATGTCAATTCTTAATTACAAATTTTTTTGCAAATGTTTTTTATCATAAATTCAGTAAAAAATTCATAAAAAATCTATATTACAAAAAACTTTTATATTCTGTATTAATAAATATTGAATATAGATTTTTTTAAAGTTTTTTACTGAAAACTTTAAAAAATTACTACTTTTTATTAAAAACATTGCAAAAAATTTGTAGTTAAGGATTGACAAACAATTTTTCATGTTGCTAAATATTTGGATAAAAAGTTTAGCGTCAAATTAATTGCTATAAAAAGGAAAGATATATCGCGATGAAAAGTTACAACAATTATTTTTAACGTAAATTCTTTTTTTAAATAAATATCTTTACATATCGTTATTTAAAAGTTAATGTGGTTTTTTTGAAAATTAATTACTTCTTTTATGTTACCGCTAATTTAAAAGTTAAAAAAAGATAAAAAGTAGCTTAACCAAAACAGCTCTATGCGTATGTAAAAATCGCTTAAGACGTACGTAAATCGCTCTAGGCGTAATGCTTTAAAACAAGGCCTATATATATATATATATATATATATATATATATATATATATATATATATATATATATATATATATATATATATATATATATATATATATATATATATATATATATATATATATATATATATATATTTATATATATATATTTATATATATATATATATATTTATATATATATATATATATATATATATATATTTATATATATATATATATATATATTTTTTTTTTTTTTTTTTTTTTATTCAACCATATCAATAAAATTTACAAATTTCATCATAAATTAATATAAATTGGTTAGGTGTCACTCATATAGTTACAAACTAGTCAATGGAGTGACACCTAAAAAACATAAAAATTTCACGAAAAAATAAATAAATAGAAAGAAGAAAAAAAAAAAAAGGAAACTGAAGTAAACAAAAAAAAAAAAAAAAAAAAAAAAAAAAAGGAAAAACTTAATATCTGTATATATAAATAATAAAGAAAAGAATTTACAAATTTCATCGTAAATTAATATAAATTGGTTAGATGTCACTCATATAGTTACAAACTAGTCAATGGAGTGACACCTAAAAAACATAAAAATTTCACGAAAAAATAAATAAATAGAAAGAAGAAAAAAAAAAAAAAGGAAACTGAAGTAAACAAAAAAAAAAAAAAAAAAAAAAAAAAGGAAAAACTTAATATCTGTATATATAAATAATAAAGAAAAGAAGACAAGATTGTTAAACAAATAATAATGATATATGTAATAATAATAGTAATAATACAAAATAATAACAATAACAAAGTACCAATAATATTAAGAATATTATAATACAATATAAATTGTATGTACAAATCATAGATGATAATTAGATATAATAATAACATAAAATGTAACATTAATAACACAATAATAAATAAATATAAGATTGGTAAATAATAAATAAAATAAAAATCAAACCACAAGACAACTATAGTACAGAGAGAAATTATAAAGAAATACACTCCAACAATATATTTTTAAATTGAATTCTGTTGAGCAGTAAAAAATTCGTAACAAGTGGATATTTTTTCTTAGACTTTTTTGTTAATGCAGGAATACACTGGTTCCATTGAGAGATACATTGTTGTTTTATGGAAAACTTACCATATTTGATTGTGCTGAAAAAAGAATAGTATAGCTTACTATTTTCTGTATTCCTGGTGTGATGATTATTAACTTCGTTTGTTTTAATAAAAAAATTTGAAAAAGGGCTTGGTAGTTTATTTTGGAGAAAGTCAAACACAAAAAGACAATTGTAAAACTTTACAAGATTATGGAGTTTTAGGATTTTTAGTTCAGAAAATTTTTTTTCGATATCAGATCTCATTGGGGAAAACGTCATTATTCTAATAGATGCGCGTTGTAAACTAGCAATGTTGTTAAGTAAAAAGTTTCTTTTTTGACCCCAAACAATACAACAATAGCAAAGGTGAGAAGAGAATAAAGAAAAATAAATCATTCTTTTTTTTTTTTTTTTTTTTAACATCTTCACTTCCAACAAGGCTGCAAGCAACCACTATAAGAGTTGGAAGTTACTGGAAGAGAAAAGACTAAATCTGTAGAGCAAGATAACGATTGACTGATGACTTAAAAGATTGCAAATTATATGAATCAGGAAAGCAAGATGAAGGAAGCGAATTCCAAAGAACTGATGTTGGAGGAAAAAAACTAGAAGAATAAGAGTTTTTGAAGCACTTAGGAGCAGTCACAGAAAAAGGATGAGACTTAATTGAATGGCGAGTAGAACATTCGAAGAGTTTGGATAGGAACATAGTAACGAATTAGAGAAAGCATACTGTTAGCTCGTGTAAGTTTTTTTTTTAGATGATACAGTTGATTATACCAAGATAGGTTTTCATCAAGATATATTCCAAGATACTTTATATATTTTGATGGAAAAAGTTTTTTACCGTTAATTTTAATTTTAATATGATCAATAGTTTTTTGAGGGGAATGAAAAATAATGTATTCAGTTTTATTGACATTCAAGGAAATACGGTTACTATTTAACCAGTTACATAAGCGATGAAGATCTTGATTAACTTTTTTACAAATAGTCGTGAGGGATTTGTTGATATATAAAAGATTGGTATCGTCAGCATAATGATGTATCATAGAATTTTTTAACGAACAAGATAAATCATTTATATATAATAAGAACAACAACGGTCCAAGAACGGAACCTTGTGGAACGCCATATTTAATAACTTTATGTGTGGATTCAAATCCATTAATTGAAACAAACTGAGTGCGATCCGTAATATATGAAGAAAACCAACGATTAGCAATACCACGTATTCCGTAGTAGTTTAACTTTTTTATTAGAATGTTGTGATCAACCGTATCAAAAGCTTTTTGAAGATCTATGAATACACCACAAGCAAAAGAACCACTGTCAATTGCACCACGAATCATTTCAGTAATGCTAATAAGAGCGTGAGAAGTGGAGTGATTTGAGCGAAACCCAAATTGTCGAATATGAAAACAAGCAGAATTATTAAAAAGTTGTAAATACGAGAATACATAAGTTTTTCTAAAAGTTTGCTGACATTTGATAATAATGAAATTGGTCTGTAGTTATTACGTTCAAGTTTTGAGTCTTTTTTATGAATTGGGATAACAGAAGCAGTTTTTAAAATATCAGGGAATACACCGGTTGTGAATGACAGATTAAATAGTTCAGAAAGTACAGGAGAGATATCATTTGGAAGAGCTTTAAAAATAGGTATTGGAATGCTGTTAGGTCCAGAAGCCTTGCTGTCATTAAGAGAATGAATAATCGATAATACTTCGTTTTTGTCTGTAGGTTTTATGAACATTGAATTAAGATTAGGATTTTTAAGATATTTATTAAAGTCAGTATTGGATGAGTGGATCTTATTCTGTAAATCTTCTGGAACTGAAACAAAAAATGAATTAAAAGATTCCGAAATTTTAATGGGGTCGTGTATCATGGAGTTGGTAGAAGATAAGCATGAAGGAGATAAGTTAACTCTCGAACTAATGTTTAAAAGGTTCTTAATACCATTCCATGTAGATTTCAAA